ATCCGTTTGTGTTCCCAATCTTTTTGAAGAAGGGGTATTTCGTGACTTCTTGATCTAGGCAATCGCAATAACATCTCGAAATTCTAGGAACCGCTAACGGATTGTTTAATTAGGCGGTTAAGCTGCATATAAAGTGACATTAATGAAAGAATCACGTCGTATAGCAACCTCTGTTAGGATCACTTTTGGTAGATTTCGGCGATTCTCTTGTTCTGTTCATACCAAATGGTCGCGTTATAACGTTTATTAACCTTGACACATATTAGCATTTCACATTTACTGTTTTCCGTTTAAATTCTTGAAAATTTTAAATTCGCTGTTCAATATTATTATAGGCTCTGAGAATTCATACGATCACATATTTAGCAGTAAATGTGCGATATGAGTACCTAATATCTATTATTTTTTGAAGCATTTTTTTTAATGCCATTTGAGGCAAGAAATGATGATCGCAAGCGATATTACATGTCCTTGCAGTGAATGTTTACAAGTTTACTTGTATATACGCATTCTCAACCATTACGCGCTTACACAATACAACTTTTATTGTGTCGGAGATATCTCGCTCGGTAATTACAACACCAGCGAATCTTGATTGCAAACGATACTCATAATAAAACAAGATAAAAATAATTAAAATCCATATCAGTTACTCTAAAAAGGCTATTTTTCTCAGCCAATGTTGCATTTCTGCATAATTTGCGCCTAGATGATTTCATAAAGTATTGAATAAAGAAGTTTAAAAAGATTAGCCAACACACGCACACATAGGAATATCAATCTTTGCATAGCAATTTTGCTATGAGTACTTTATAGATAGTGTAATTCGGACGAAAATGACCGATTCTATATTAAAGAAAAGAGACCAGTATGTTAACCCTTTGTTGCTAAACATGCTAAATATGCCGTCAGCATCATTCAGCGTCTACGGTAGTAGTATTTATCTCACGACAATCCGGGCAATCCGTGGCTGAGGCAACCACGGTTTTCGTCACTGACAAACACTAACTGCATATTTCGCGTTATGTACGCGGAAAAAATCTAAACATTATCCGTGCTTTCTGTTTTTACGAGGAAATGTGTCAAGGTAATTAGACGTTTCATCACATCTCGCCGTCCTACGAGCACGCGATGTCGTCTTGAAGTCGTTGAAATTGAATAATCGTTGCAGTCATCCGTATTATCTCTCCACGAGATACGCATCTTTTTCTGTCGGATCAGAAGAGGAACCGATAGGGCCCAGAATAATCGTCGTGAAACTCATTGTGTTGGAGTGCACTTCTGGCAATAAGAATTTATTAAATTCGCGCGGTTTATTCGTTGTTGCTAATGCTTGACAGCCCTCGTGTACGCCAGTCTTTCTAAATCTCTTTTTCTAATCTGTCTCGGGGCCTCCTACAAAGACTCTGCGAGGGGAATGCCTTCAGTCATCGACACCGAATGTATATTACGGTTCTAACCGATCCAAACCGGCTTTCACCAGCGACCAATCGCCTTAATTCTACCGGTTTCTGGTGCTGGGTCAGCAAATCCATTTTCATGATCGGGATTCGTCGAGGAGATTCAATATACTACACAATCCCATGAAATAAATCGTTGACTCACTCGTTCGTTGAATCGTCTAATCGTACCTTACAGCGGGGCCAAGGCCGTAAATTTTTTGTGAATATTTGCAAAAAAATATTTCAAAGCAATGAAGCAATATATATCAGGGGATTATGTGTTTTCTAACGAAAAAAGAAGCCTCCAATGAATTTTCGTGATTTATGACGTGATTATGCGGTATTTATACGGCAAAAGCCATTTACACAGATTCGAGAGAAATCGGATAATTACTGGATGGATATACTACTTAATGCGGAGATATTATTTTTTAATCCTTGTAATATAAGAATATAATATATATTAATATTTTATAAATTATTTTTTATATTCAGATTTTTTCATATTTAATCGGGAACTCTTATATTTCATTTTTATATCCGTAAAATAATAGCATTGGAAAGTCAAATAAGTTGTTGAAGAGAGAAAAGTCTTTGTATAATATAAAGAATATATATATCATCAATGAAATTGCATTTTTCCATATTTAATCTATTTTGCTATTTATTATGCCAATTTATTTCTATGTATTTATCATCTACTTTATTTTCCGCAATAATTATTAGTAGTCTCTAATTTGTTAGTCATACAAAAATATTCACGCGTGCAGCGACCTCGTCACTTGGTAAGAGTGCAGAAAACATCGCGTTGATTATTTTGACGTGCGTTTGTAACCAAGCGTGTCTATCTCCGCACCGCATAATTTTCACTGCTAGTGACGCAACGCATAGGAACGCGATTCGTCAGGCTTGCGATTTAAGTAAGTCTATTCGCATACATAACGCAATTTTAATAAAACAATCTAGTACATGAAATCGATAAATTGAAAACATCTCGCGTCGATACGGCACGAAGAAAAAAATCGCAATTGTTTTGCAGAAATGCTTCGGTTATTTCACCATTAAAAGAACGCAGCAGCAAATAATCGCGGAGTATTTCTTTCGATCATACGATTGTATGACAATTGCACGAATATTTCAATTATTTGCATAACATACGCAATTTTTCTATCCGAGCGAATTGATTGCCGTTGGCACGGTCTTAAACGGACCTGATATGCTTTTTATTCGCGGAAAAGTTGGCGGTAAAATTATTATCTCAGACACGAGTAGAGCTATTGCTTTTTATCGCACGATATGACGATTGTTCAGAGAATTGTACTTAATAAAGAAGCATCGAGCACGTATGAACGAAATAAAATGGACTATACATTCTGCCGTTATAATTTTTTTTAATAAATATAATATTTTCCGTCTTATCGTATACTGGTATCCATTATTAAATTTATTTATCTATTATATACTACGATTATTTTAATCTCGGAATTTCAACATGTCAAAAATTATTCGTAAACAAAAAAAATATAAATTATATATTTTATATTTTTATAAAAATATAACAATATTATATTATATTATTTTTTATGTTAAAATGTCGATGTAAATATTAATATAATTATTAGTATAAATATCTTGATAAGTATTAATATACATATTACCTTTTCTAATTAGATTTCTAATTAGACCAGAGTCTTGATGCAGCATATGCGTGGGCATATAATAACACTAGTATAATTCCTATAAGATTTTGCGTAACCTTAACAAGAATTATAACATAATTATCTATATAATTAAATTGTAATATAATTTATCTCGTAAACAGTAAGTGAAGTGAAAAAGATAGAACGCTTATTAAAATATTAAACGTATCATACATAAAATTGATTTTTTTAAAAACTATATAATTACTGCTTCCGTTATTGCAGTCTATTTTGAGCTGATGATCATTTTTTAAAGACATAAAAAATTGTATATAAAATTCCTATTAAATAAATTACATATCTCACACGTTTCATGTAAAAGCTATATGTATACGATAGTATCAGTGACAGTTAATTTTGATCTCTCTTCTTCAAGAATGGCGAAATGCATCTGTAATTACACACTCTATCTCGATTATAGCGAAAGATCATTCGTCACTTGCGGCAATCTATTGTAATTAGCATACGCGTCTGGCGGTTGATTAATATTTTCGTATTCATTCACGCGTATACAAGGCGCCTGTACCTCGCTGTAGACTCACTTTAAAGATTACGCAGCCTTGCCGTTCTCTCTCGAAAGGTTACCGTTTGTCACATCGTATTTTTCGCGATTTGCAGATTCTTGTTTGCGCGGCGATAGTCCCGAGAAAGTTTGCAAAAATAGATTCTAATAGAGAGTATTGCAATATCATACTAATATTTGCTATATATGTTGTATACTATGTACATGCAAAGTGTTCAAGTGTTTATTGAATTAACAAGGAAATAGTGAAATAAATAATAGCTAAATTGTTTCAATTAAAAGCTATTGACACATTTTACAAATTCACACTACTGAATTTTTGATCGGTTATTTTTTTTAATCTCATGATAAAATATCACAATAAAAAATAATTGAAGAAATTGTTAATTAATGATTTAGAATACTATAATTAAAAGGTTGGTTAATGGCGATTAGGAACACAGGCTGCAACTGCATAAATCATAAATGGATGCGCACATGGTACGTAGAAGCGAGGAAATCTGATAAAGAGATATCGCAGGAAGCGATCACAATATCGTTATGAAGGAAACAATGTGTGTGCAAGCGCAGTGCATAAAGCCACATTAATGTGTGCATGCATTTCCATATACATGAATGACTTCACGTAATTGTATGTATCTTATTCGCGCGTCAAGAACGGTGACGAAACTCTCATTTAAGGAGCGTTAACTACAGGTGTATTTACGTAAGAATAAATGTTTTTATTGAGTACCTTCAACATCGGCCGCAATGATATTGATAATTGATAGAAGCAAGCAAACCTGAGTAATTTTTACCTATGTATAAAATAAATACAATCTTTTCTGGCGAAAAGATATACGCATATTTTTAATGTGCATTAATAATATTCCATGCGATATAAAGGCGTCGTCAATTATTATACAAATAGCACCAATAATCAATTATTAATCGTCATTACGCCAAAGGATATAACTTGTTCTTTGACTAGTTGCATTTTTCAGTGAAATGTTACTTATGTACTGGGTATTTTTTATAACATTTATGTTGAACATCAATTTGTCGTATACTAACTGCTAAAGATTATTATTATACTTAATAAAACTTTGCATGGCTTTTAAATTTTTAAATATCAGACATATATATTTAAGATTTTATTAATTATATCTTATTATGAAAAATAAAATTTATATATAATTTCTGCTTACATATCTTCAATGTTTAATTTATAGTTTACACGCGGAGGATATTTACAGATATCTAAATATCAATAACCACTGGAGATGGTTGATAATAATACGTAATCCACATAAGCAAATTTAAATAATAAACAATTGTAATTTTGTGTATGTTCAGGTAGTCGCCACGTAAAATGGTAGCATCGCAAAACGATGGTGGTAGAAGTATGGGAGGTGGCAATGGTGGTGGCGGCGGCGATGACACGGTTTACACGGTGGCCGTGATGAGCGGCGGCGGTTACAGAAACGAGGGCTACAAGGACGACGGCACCGACGGCATACCGCCGGAACCGCAAAAACCGCCGCAGCTACCGGCAACGGACGACGATACGCAGTCGCGGAAGTTCAATGTGTCGCGCGGCGAGAAATGGCGTATCCTGAAGAACATTGGCACCGTCTCGATCGCTTTCATGGTTCAGTTCACCGCGTTCCAGGGTACGGCGAATCTACAGTCGTCGATCAATGCAAGCGACGGCCTCGGCACCGTATCGCTCTCGGCTATCTACGCCGCCCTGGTGCTCTCGTGTATTTTTGTACCCACTTTCCTCATCAAGAGACTTACCGTCAAGTGGACCCTTTGTCTATCTATGCTCTGCTACGCACCATACATCGGCTCGCAGTTCTATCCTAAATTCTATACCCTGGTACCTGCCGGCGTACTCCTTGGTCTCGGCGCCGCGCCCATGTGGGCTGCCAAGGCCACATATCTCACCCAGGTTGGTGGAGTTTACGCCAAGATTACCGATCAACCGATTGACGCTATCGTCGTACGGTTCTTCGGCTTCTTCTTCCTGGCGTGGCAAACCGCCGAGCTCTGGGGCAATCTCATCTCCTCGCTTGGTAAGTTAATAGTTTCAAATTTACCATATATTATTAAAACTATTATTTTAACACAAGATTATTTTAGCAAGAGATTTATTGGACTATCTTATGCTATATGACTATTTTCGTTATATTATTTATATATGCGATATGTTTCGACAGAATTTAGATTAATACAAAAAATGTACGCTGTTTTTTTCATAATTTACATTTTATGACACAAAGGATATCGTATACAATGAGACCAAAGTACTTTCGATTGGAGAATAATAATGAAAAGATTTTGTAACAGTGTAATAGCAAGAGATACAATTAATCAAATTAATCAACATATTATTAGATTAGTTTTGATAACTGATTTTTTTAATACTTGCATATTTACATGCATATAATTAATAATTATATGGCGCTTCGTGAAGAGAATTGATTTTTGAAAATATTTAATTTTCTCACTATTGAGATTATAAAAGAGCTTAATAAACGTTTTTACGTGATTTGTCATATCACATTAAACCGGTATGTATATATTTGCAGAAGCAGCTCTCCTTGCTGTCACTCGAGAATGTATAATAGAGACATTTTCTACATCTCAATAACACACAACATTTTAATACTATCGCCGTCTGTTTTTTACACTCAATTACCAGCAACTCACAATATAACCGTTAATGCCGCGCAAATACACCCGTAAAATTGTGTGCACAATTGTACGATGACTTATCAACTTGGACTATCTTGCTCATCTTATAACCAGATGTGTGTGTACTATAATTATATCATCATAATTATAATTGTAATATCACATAACTGGTTTAAAAAATATATTTTTCTAGACACAAATTATTAATTTAAAAATTTCGCGGAGAACTTTTATTAAAAAGTTAATATAAATTGTATATATAAAAACAACTATTTTTTTAATTGACTAAATTTATTTATTTTTTATATTTATATTCATATTATAATAAAATCATATTTTTCTTATATAAAAAATAGCATATATATCTTTATCTTTTATTGTTAAAATATTTTTATGTACATATATGTATTATATAATTTTTTAAAGCTCTCTTGAAGAGCTTTAAATTAAGAAAAGGTCTATTTTTTGTTCAGTTGAGTTAAAAATATAGTCTGTAAAAGAATATAGAAATGCAGAATATTTTATTATGATTAGGTAAAATATTTTAGTCTCCGAAATTAGGCAAGTTTCGCAGTGGCAAATACGCAGCGTACGCGTACAGTAGAAACAGACGTTACAGTCAGACAGTCGGACTAAATGCTCGGTTTTTCCCCTGATGCTCGTATCCTCACGCCTTTACACGCCTTGCGTCCGTCATATATGTGTGCAAGATAACACTGTTGGTGAAAGACTCCACAAGCGAGACAGGCTGTGATAGCGACAGAGAGCGAATCGCACATTCGCCGAGAAGAAACGAGATTTATCCGGTATAAACCTGTGATAGTCGGTTTCCGTACTACCTCGTACGCATTCCCCGTTGCTGCGTATATACGCACACGCGCACGCATATATATATACACGCTCAGCAAAGTATTATTGTGTGTCGATCTTACATGTGAAGAAACGTTTCTTCGATTTCTTTGCTCATCGAACATCTAATGTATTCAGTCTGACGCTATTCTGGGTGGTATAAATCAATAAAATCCGGAACCGAAGAATGTTCTAATTATTATTAAAAAATTGATATGTTTAACTATGAAAAAAAAGAATATAAATTTAAATGTAAATATAATAGGTCTATTTTTTGTTCAGTTGAGTTAAAAATATAGTCTGTAAAAGAATATAGAAATGCAGAATATTTTATTATGATTAGGTAAAATATTTTAGTCTCCGAAATTAGGCAAGTTTCGCAGTGGCAAATACGCAGCGTACGCGTACAGTAGAAACAGACGTTACAGTCAGACAGTCGGACTAAATGCTCGGTTTTTCCCCTGATGCTCGTATCCTCACGCCTTTACACGCCTTGCGTCCGTCATATATGTGTGCAAGATAACACTGTTGGTGAAAGACTCCACAAGCGAGACAGGCTGTGATAGCGACAGAGAGCGAATCGCACATTCGCCGAGAAGAAACGAGATTTATCCGGTATAAACCTGTGATAGTCGGTTTCCGTACTACCTCGTACGCATTCCCCGTTGCTGCGTATATACGCACACGCGCACGCATATATATATACACGCTCAGCAAAGTATTATTGTGTGTCGATCTTACATGTGAAGAAACGTTTCTTCGATTTCTTTGCTCATCGAACATCTAATGTATTCAGTCTGACGCTATTCTGGGTGGTATAAATCAATAAAATCCGGAACCGAAGAATGTTCTAATTATTATTAAAAAATTGATATGTTTAACTATGAAAAAAAAGAATATAAATTTAAATGTAAATATAATTAAAAAATTAAAAAATAAGTAAAAGTGTATATATATAGTCTTAAATAAAGAAATCAGATTTAATCATGATGCGCACGTTTACTTTCTTGGATTTCTTGTTATTTGTAGAATTTATGATTGCAAATTTATTTGAAATCTGTAATGATATGTGTGTCTCTCTCTCAGACGATATATATAAAATATTATTTAATCTGCTTTATAATATTATTTAATCCGCTTTATAATCTAGATAAATAAAATTAATCCAGATAAATAATAAATTGCAAAGATAAAAAACATTAATAGTGCACAATATAACAAATATATCGATGTTTATCAAACATATTTATATGTGTAAAGTAATATAATAGTATAGCACAAAGAGAGAAAGAGAGAGAGAGAGAGAGAATATTTGCTTTAGAAGAAAAAAAGTTTTACTCTAGATAAGTGTAGATGGTTAGAAAGATGAGCTCTTTTCTTAAATTACTGAACGGATAGAGAAAAGTTAGTGCCATTGACGCCAGACAATATTTGCAAATATACGACAAAGGTTAAGATTGTTTTGGAATCCTTGTCGAGGTCGACGTGTGCGCAATATGATAGCAATGAATGGTCGATAGTGACATGAAGGTTACGGGAATTGCGAACAGGGTATAATTAAATAATTCGTACAACCGGAGATCTTTGTAAAATGATTCGGTAATACTTATAAGATTTTTTTATGCATTATGACATTGATTATGGAAGAAGTCGATTAAATTTATGTCACGTATTGATCGTATTTAAATAACACGGTAAATTATCGTAAAGAATCTGTTTTATTTTTGTCAAATTATAAGTAAATAAGATTTTAATGATGTTAATTAAAATAAATTATAATTATAAATGTTTCTTCAAGTCTGAAATTTTGATATTATGCGTATTTCTTGATATATACAATCAATGTTTTATTATAGGAAATTTAAGTGAAGGCCATTATTTATTGCAATCTTTTAATATTAAATGTCTCGATGGTAAAATTACGATTTAAAATACAGCAAAAGCAAAATTTATTTAAACTTTAAATAAACAATAATTTCTTTATCTTATATATCTTGTTTAGTTATTTTTGAATTTAGACCTAAAAATTCAGTTTCTTCAATCTATAATTAAAAACCTTTTTATTCCAATTTGATTTAAAATTATAAAACTATTTATTAGCCTTTTTGTTTAAAAAAAAAAATAAATGTAAAATTAATAAAACATCGTATTTTTGTTTTGATATAAAAACTTTAGTGCTATAATGAAAATACGAAATATTTTTCATCGCTCAATAAAAGATAATTAAAAGGCAAAAGATGATATCTTCAGCGTGCTTTTCATTCCGATCGTGTAATTCTAATGAACGATTTCCTCGTACATGCTCGAACAGCAGACACCGTTAAAAAACAGACAATTTTTAACAATTATAACGATGATGGTGGGAACGATTTTAAATATGATATAACATTATTAGCTCTGCTCCAGTGAAAGTCCTTTTCCTCTTGGATAAACATACGTAGATTCCAGAGAATGACGATACGCTTTGTTTAGAGCTATCGATTAGTTTCTGTCTTCTGTCGGAAAATATTTAAACGCTTATATGAAATTGTGAGTAATACAAGATATCAGGCACGCCGCGACGATAGAAGATGAAAGTCGTACCGCGTGTCAGTAGTTCCGGTCGATGATTTAACCGGCGGGATATGGCGAGCGTTAATTTTTCACGGCAACGTAACGCATGCCGCAACTCGCCTAACGCATTGCGTGATCTCTCGACATATTCAAGATAGTTTTTATCGTCACATATCTGCGTTACATATTATATCACGTGCACTAATAATAACGCGCGTGTACGGCGATTCTTGCAAACATTCGCGCGTTTCAAAACGAATCGTTGCACTTTAAAGCGCCGTGGCTCCTAGTTGATTTATAACTCAATACGCGTCGAATACCAACGAGATCCTTCGAGAAGGTTTCCTGCAAACGACCACATTCGAACGCGTGTCGTGCGCTTCCTCATTGGCAACACACATGTGCGTGGGCTGCGTTTGCACAGCTGTGCGGGAATTTCTTTATCTTGTTATTTGCGAGCACTTCTCTCTGCTGTGCGGTTCATCGATTGGTTCGATGATTCTTTATTAATTCGTCATCAGATCCAAAATAGCTATAATTTTTTTGACGACATTATAAAATGCAAACGTGGCAAAAACGGTGCATTAAAAGGTATAGGTACTCTGTTTATCGAAGGATTTTTTTATACGTGTGTATAAAGTACATACGCAAGTATTTTTGCGTAAAACGACTTCACAGCTGTTTTAATGACGTTAATAAAGCAATCAGAACACGTTAGGTTGCGATAAATGTCTATCGCGTTTTTATTAGATGTAACCAGTCGCTATTTACATCCGACAAAGGTCTTTTCCGACTTCACGCGCCGTGACTAAAGGTGCAGGATTATGCGATATATCCCCACCGAAGATAAGCGCAACCGTGACACCGTTGTTCGGTGTTTTACCTCCACAGGACGCGTCGACACGCATAATCAATTTTTCGATCGTGAAACGACGAAGTAAAGCTTCGTGTCTAGCGCGCAAACCGCATGTCCGCAAAACGATTAGGGAAGAGTCTCGTCAGCGGTGAAATTCGCTCATGAAATATTGATTTACGAAGAGTCTAGCAGCTCACACTCGTACTCTTTGTATCGTCTAGCTCTCTCGCGACGATCGAGACGAGACGGTATTGCCGGTTTCCGGTTACGGCGTAATAGGTCGACCTCTCGATTTACCGCTCGCACACCTTCACCACGCGATTCTACGCGATAACCGACGTGGCAATATATAAATTGTTACGTGTTTCTTACTTATTCAGGTATACATGCAGTTACCAGTAGATTGCATCGATATTCAATTTTATTCCTCTCCATTGCGATATGTAAAATAAAATGATTTCCGTATAAATTTGCATTGTGAGAATATCATAGAAATATGCAATAGATATAAACAGATGAGCGATCAAATTACCCAAGCCGTTGGTCTTTAATTAGTGAAGTAAACAAAAAATATACCGCATATATGCTAAATATGCAATAAATTTATCTCTCATTGATTGCTAAATAAAACTAATTAAAAATGCCGTACATTTTAATTTTTTATTATTAATGCTCCTCTTGAATGAAAAAATGTCATGTTGCTTATACTACTTATACTACTTTTGAGTTTGAAATATTATTATATTTTGCAATAATTGTTTCTCTTTTTCTTTAGAATATTAACGTGAAAATAATGACCCTCCTACTGCAAAGTATATAAAAAGCAATAATTATTTTTACCTCAAGTCATTTGCATAATTTGAATTGGCTTTTTCTATTTTTAGCTACGATTCTAGAGAAAAAATCTTTTTTTGTAACGAAGAAATACGGCTCAAATATAGACAATTCAAATAGTGAATATATATTGAAATATTACTTTAAGAGATTAAATTTTAAATTTTATATTGATCCTAGATTATATTTAATTTCAAAGAGAGTATAAGAACGAATTGATAGCATACATGGTTGCAAAAATCTTTTAATTTTTACTTACAGAACATATAAAATATTAAAATAGTTTCTTCGTTTCCTGTATAATTCTTCTTTTATATAAAAATTTTCTATTAAAAACTAATATAAAGAGACATTTTATCAAGAAAAGATTAAATTGTTTATATTATAGTAATAATATATAAATAAATTCGAAGAAGCAGCTTAGCAATGAAAGCGCGAACGCGTTCGAGGAAACGACTCACAATCAGAGATCACTTTCAAATTGCAGTACTGAGCGACGGGGGGCACGGCGGTGGCGGGGGCGGCGGCGGCAGCAACGGCACGACCAGCTGGGACAAAATCAAGTTGTGCGGCGCGGATTTCTGCGTCCTTGGCAACGGAGGCCACGAGAACCTGGAGCGGCCGCCGGAGTCCGAGATCTATGAAATCTCTTCGATCTACCTTACGTGCGTCATCATTGCGGTAATAATCGTCGCTCTGTTCGTCGATCCTCTTTCCAGGTGAGTCCCGAATATACCGGAACGAAAGTTGTTGCCCGAGGGAGGGGGATGCTAATCGCTCTCGAGAGCGACGCGTTTTTATCGCCTGCCAGGTATCAGCCGACTTAACGATCGTCGTAACATTTCGCGACGGAATTGCGCGTCAGATGAACAAGGACAAGCTGCACGAGCAGCCGTTGTGAAAAAAAAAAACGTTAGAGAGTAGTCGGGGCTGGCGAACCTGATTACCTACTTTTTGGCGTGTCGTCGGTGATGGGAGATAACGCGCCGAATGTTAATCGATCGGATTTACATACATATCTATACGCGCTGGGAGAAATACGTAGAATCGATTTAATCATCATCACATAATTTTTTATACTGCTATTGGAGCATTAATGTCTAATATACGAATAATCCCATCGGTACTGATTGAAGTTTACTTGGAAAATTTTTATCGTCTTCCATTTAAAAGAAGATAAAACCAGGCAAATTGGAAGCTATGTTTTTCTCATATTTTAGAGGGATCATTATTGATCCCTTTATGAAATCATAAATATAAATGTTGCATTCAAAAAGACTGAAAGGAATTGGAGATGAATTCCTTGAATCAATAATTCTTTGATAAAAATTTAAACAAAATTTTGATTTTTGTAAAACGATTCGACATAGCAAATCACAATTATAATTCTGTCCAAAAATATAAAGACACTTAAGAAAGTTTTAATTCCTAATTAATATCTCTATTATTTAATATCTCGTTCTTTAATATCTAGCTATTTAATATCTCTATTTAATATCAAAAGAGGATTTAAATAGAACATCAATATACATATTTAATCCAAGACATAGGCACTAAAATTCTCTCTCAACAGTCGATGTAGAAGAACGTAAAAATTTTAGAGGGACTCTCTCTCTCTCTCTCTCTCTCTCTCTCTCTATCTTTAATTTACGCTGCTTTACAATATGCCGAAGGATACGAGCACTTATGTTGACGCAACGAGCGAGTCCAGAAACTTACCGACTTTTAATAAGTATGGTTCACGCTACGTGTATAACGTTATGCAATCACCACAGCCGGCACATCCTGTCGGATGTACGCTATTTCGCAATCATAAGCAGAGCAATGGTTACGATGATCCCAAAATGGGGGAGGTAGGGGAGAGGAAATTCGGGTTGATGTTTCGCGGATCACGTCTATCAAACTGCGGTTTCGTAATGTCGCAAAAAACATGACACACCGTGAAAATAATTTCAACTCGTTTGTTCACCGTCTTTGAAAAATGACAGGAAAGAAGCGATCGTTTAAAACGTACATGTAACCTTTGGGACCGGATTTTCCAAACGATCTGATAATCCACGTAATGTATAACTATTACGAGCGCAAGTATAATAGCTGCAAGTTGCTTGTATCGCAGAGAGAACGTGAGTCAAACGAGTTGTTACGAGTTTTTACAGACGAGTCAGATGAATTAGATTCTAATCTGTTCCTGGGAAGTACAGTTATGTAAATTGTTCAACTTTATAAATTGTTCAAATTTAAAAGCAACTAAAAAATATTCAAATATTATTTTACGCCACGATTTCTAAAAAATGATGCATCTGTAAATAAACTTCGGTAATTGTGCTCGAGCTTTGCGTAAAGGGATGTATATTTCGCTTTTTTACAGACAGTTGATACTGTGCGAGAACAACGCCCCAGTACTTCAAATCGGGAGGAAAAAGATCTTTCTCGATTGTATTATCGCTTTATATTTAGAACAGCTTGACGAAAACACGACGTGATCGCGCATGACGTCGTCATATATTCATAAAACGACTGTGCGGACGATGACAGTTTGAGCTATGCAATTCATACAGTGCGAAATCACGGATAAAATATATCATTGTCAGTGATCGTGCGCGCCGATAAGGTGGTTTGATGTACGAATAGTACAGGCAGCTTCCTTTGTTACATCCCGCGCATGTCATCTTTCAGTGCATAATTACGGCATGCTCTACCTTCGCAATTAGGCTTCATTGTTGGCTCAACGCGCAATTACAGGCTTCTTTGTGGTGAACAGGTTTCGCGTCCTACTCGCGTAGATCAATGTCGCTGGTAGATACTAATGAAACAAAATATTTTTTTTCTTTCAACTTTCTAGAAGTATTCGAGGAAACATTTAACAAGTTAATCTGCTGATTACTTTGCTCTCATTTGCAAATTGAAAGTAGTCCGATGTTTTGTAGAGTCATCTTGTTTAATCGAATGATTGAACGCTTTGTGTGCGAAATAAGTCTGTTTAGACACATATTATGCAACATATATTTTAAAAAATAGAAATAAATAAAGATTGTATATATAATCTTTTAGCAAAATAACTTATTGTTGGCTAAATTTCTATTTTATTTTAGAGAAAATTTGACAAATTAAAAACTACAATTTTTCGCATAAATATTATATATTTATATACATTTTTAGCGACAATCATTTTTTTTTTGCGTCAATGCGCGTATCCTTGAACATGCTGCAAAGCAGCATAAATATAATCTTTTTACTGGAAAAATATTTGTATTTTTTTACATCGACTATTGAGAGATAATTAACTTAAGATTTACTATGTAATGTTACTTCCCGTGCCCAGCTAATCGCAAAAAATCCAGAGGCATCGATCAGCATAGAAAATTGATAAACCGATTGCTAAGTTGTTCTCTTCTTTTTTTTCTCTCTCTCGACTTTGATATAGGAATTATTAAAATTCTATTTATAATAGATTGTAAAAAAAATATCGCATTGGCATTGATTAGATGAAAGGATTGGCTCGTGAACGTACTTTAAATATACGATGCTGAATAATATCAGCATTGATATATTCAAATATCGTTTATAGAACTGCCGTTTCGTTTCTGCCGTTGGTAAAATCATGCTTTTCGTATTCATCCTGCCACGGGAAGATGCTCAAGGACGCGTTTGTCCGGATGTAAGCAACTCTTAATGATACGTTGTCCGCCAAATTATTATCAGGCCACAGATTAGATTGCAACTCAACATTACAAAATTTTACAAAATACATACTTTGGTTAAATGCACACTACGTCAACTACCCCATTCGTGATTAATACAATTGATCTTCCGTCGCTCAGATAGAAAGATATCTCGCTAATGTAGACGTAACATTAACGACACTTTTATATCGAAGATGGCCGTTATCGTTGACCATAAAATCGCGGAGAGGAAGACCTTCCTGCGCATAGGTCTTGCTTCCTGTCCGCACACTTGGCCGATTCGTTTAATGAATTGTTTTTTATAGACATCTACGATGAAATATACGTTTACATTTTTCTCGTCGTGAGACATCAAGGTTTCATTCAATGTGACCGCCCGGTAAATCAGTCGGTTCGGACTCTCCTTCGTGGAAAGAACAAACGATAGGGTATTATGCTCGCAATTAGATGATAGGTGATAGATACTATCAGACTTATTCCCGGTTGTAATTACGGCGTTACGGTTTTATGGCTTGCGTGACAACAGATTTTCATTGTTTTTGTACACTGCCGCGCAAGATTCTGCAATCTGTTATTGTTTAATTCAATACCTTTGCGATTTTAACGAATACGATTTGTTGTATTCAAATAATGAGTACTATATATTAAAAATTTAAATTTAAATATAATATTTTTTTTATATTTAATTAGGCCAAATTATTATAATATAAATTTTTATAACAGTAATTAATAATATATGATGTAAAAATAAATATAGCTGGACGATATCTTTATATAGTATAACATACGAAATTTCTCGTGGATATAATATCAAGAATTAATGTCAATTAATCAAAATTCTGTCCATTTTTTGACGTATCTGATTTAATTCTTTTACTATCCGTAACTGATAAATATTTTTTGAGATTTTGAACAATTTTATTATGTCCTGCTGGATTTGGACATCCTCTTATTACGCTTGTTTTTTTCATTCTAATGACGAATTCATCCGGAACTCTGTAACTATACTTAGACATCTTTAATTACTGGGAAAATTTACGATGGTCGCTGAGCCGCAGTTCGCGAATTGTTTTTTCGCAAGGCCGTACCTCTTCTAATTTACGTGTGTGTTAGCGCAAGTTTTGATAACGAGAAACTCACAATGCTAGTCTGACGAAAAGAAAACGATGATAAAGCAATGCTCACAGTTGTGCTAGGTATAGGTTGTTTTAGAAATATGTTTTATGATATCTTTAACTATAGATTTTTTTCTACGTTTTGTATTGTTAGTTTATTCTTAGCAAAATTCTATGAAATCATTATTTATTACAATTTCTAATTGTTAGCATTTAATTTAATAAAATATTGATCAAATCTAAAAAAAAATATTATTAAATAACAAAGCTGCATTTAAAATTATTTATTATTTTAGAATTTAACTCACTAAAGTTTTCTTTTTAATTTTAAATTATTTACAATATAAATTAATAAAGTAAAATAAATTTTTTTTTTATATCTTGAATATTGTAGTCAAAAAGAAAATATCGCAGTGAAAGACACTGTAGATATACATTTTATCGTAGTTGCAGTAAAATGAATGTATTTAGGACACACGACGGCACGTACCGATACAACAACTTCCCACTTGCTGCTCGTGTTCTCGCTTAAATCTGCGAGAATAGTACCTCTTCGTTATCGCTCTGAGAGAAACATATTCCTTTTGTTCACAAACGCATATCTGTTATCGCAAATGTAAGAAACGGATCGTGTGTAAATAGCAAATTCGTGCATACCGTTAGAAAAATCGTTTGCTATTCTAGTCATACCTAGCTTTTTATAATTTTATTGCGGATTACTTATATTTTTACACATGATTTATATATATAACATCACACAAATATAAAAAGAAAAAGATAAAATTTACTTGTTAATATTTGTTCAATGCGCTATTTTGTTAATATATTCTTGTATTTTTTCATTAACGATTCTTGGAGCAGATTCTCGTGCCAATGTGAATCAAATTGTCTTCTTTCACTCCTCTTTCCGAGCATTAAAAT